ATCTGAGGGTTAAACTCAAGGATTTATTTTGTTCTTTGCAAATAATTTCACCAAAAAAAGGCAAAAAGTTAAACATCCCCAGTCTTCTACTCGCCGGTTGAAGTCTGACTGGTTCGTGTTCTGACCCAACAACCAGCAGGATGCATCAGTTTAAGGGTAAAACTGGGATGAATGTGGCTAAAGGCGGTCTTGATTGTCATCATTAATTTGTGCGTCTGAGCAGAATTGCAATTTACATTTATTTATGTCAGAAACACAAACATCTCAGGTATAATTGGTTACTAAGATGTGCTTTCTCGGCCTTTTAGGTCCCAGTTAACTGTCTGGAAAGTTCCGCCCACGTGTTTGTCTCACAACTTTGTGATCCGGTCTTCCTGCGTGGAAAAGACCCGTCGCTCATTATGTGAACGTAGGGGAGGCTGTAGATTAGCATGCATGTATAATCTGATTTTAAGGACGCAAAAAGCGTTTTAAATGTGTTTTAACTGAGAAAAGTTAAAGTTTAAAGTTATAAACATGCATCCATGTCTGCTCCATTTGTCCAGCTTTCAGAATATGAAGTCACTGCTTTGGTGTTTTGCTCAAACTCATCTATCATGAAAATGACAATGATTCCTCAAACCTGGCAAAGTACTGCATTAATAGACACTGTTTGGAAAAGATGTGCATTATACTTCAGGCAAAGCATTGATCAGATGGACACCTTCAGCCCAGCGTCCCCCAAAACTTCCCAGAGATTCCTCAAAAGAAAACCATGATTAGTGAGAAAATGTGTGTCTGAGGAAAACAACATGAACTCTTTTCCTTCACACACACACACACACACACACACACACACACACACACACACACACACACACACACACACAGATTAAATACAGTGGACATCCAGTTTCCTGGAATTCTACTTTGATTGGTTGTCAGTGTTGACAAATCGAGTAGGCCGTGGGATTATATTAAATGGGACAATGAAAAGCAGGGCGATATCTCATTTAATTACATTTTGTGTGCATTGTGGCACTGATTGGTGCGCAGTGGGAACAGCAGCTAGCTTGATTTTAAGGCCCAAAGGCTGACAAAGGATGACTGGTTTCATTTACAAACTTCCTCCTGCACAACTTCTGATAGCCGCTGTAATCAAAGTTTCTTTTTTGAATTTACCAGAAGACTTAAAAGTAAGAAAACACTGAGATGACACATCCTCTAGCAGAAGCAGAGTAAGGACTTTGGCTAAAACCTCACGTATCCTCAAGGGTGTAAAATCCCAAGAAATGTAACAATAAGAGTTTACTTCTGTGTGAAACAAGCACATTTCTGCCTGTGGTCATCTTCACTTCACAATAAAATCATAAATCATCTTTAAGAAACAACATTTAAAATGATGATTGATGATCATAATCACCGTTTTAAAACATTATAGGACCATTTACTGCTAGCTGTTTTAGATTTAAAAAAACAACAACTGTACAATGTGTATTAATGCTGTTGTTGAAAATGATTTAGAATTAATCTCATTTATCTTCCTGCTTTGGTGACAGAAGTTCACTTTTTTGGGTTTTAAGAACCTAAAATTACCCTTTGTCCATTTAAACTGGTATTCTGATTTTGGTGAAAGTGCAAAAATTAGGTTTGTTGCTATATATTCACATTTCCTCAATTTCTTTTTACTGCAACTCAACTGTTCTGGTCTTCAAGTGGGATCACAGAGTGAAGAAAAGGAGAAAGTCTAATGACAAAACTATGTTTTATGTTCAGTTAAAGCAAATACTTAAGTTGGAAAAACTGAAAACTTTAAGCTGACTTTCAATATAATGAAGTTGCAGCAATGCATAATATTAATTTGAAATAAATCTAATTGATCTAAGTAGATCTAAGTCAAACCAGTGGTATTAATATGACGTGTTAAATGAACTTCATTCAGTTGAGTTTTACCAATTGAAGCAGTTCATTTAAGTTGGTCCAACAATTCTCTTTTTCTACCATGTAAACAGATTATCGAACATAACGACTGAACATAGGAGTGAAAAACTCCCTTTTAACAAAAACCATCCCTAAAGTATTTCTTAAATGAATATATCTAAACCATTTTGTGAAACTTCCTTGAGCGCCTACGGGGAGGTCACAGGTCGTGATTAGACACCGAGCAGCAGCCATTCACTCACTAGCTTTATGGGGTTAAACAGCTTTTTAACGATTGTGGTTTCCTCGGTTTGAGATGTAATAAAAACACCCATTCGGACGTTGGGGATTAATGAATGCAATAACAACAGCCATTAAGGCCAGATAGCTGATATTTGAGGTTAAACTGTGAGGAGTTGGCAAGCGTCATTATCATTACCTCGTAATAAAACGCTCAGTTTGGGAAACACTGACAATCCAGGACCTTTTCCTATTTTTTTTGCATTGTGCCAGGATGCTGCTCATGAGGTGAGAGGTGATTCTGACTGGACGATGGCGCCACCTAGTGTTTGTCTGTTACTACTGACCGTAACAAGCCTGTTGAGGTGCTACCAGTGTGGTGGGAGCTGCATTTGCTTTATGAGGAGAACTGACTGAAAGAATGACACTGATGTGAGACTAAAGTACACAAGACTGTAAAATTATGTGCAATCAGAAGCCAATGAAAAGAGTGGAACCAAAGCAACCAGTATTCTTAAAAAGGAATCATTTTATTTATTTTTTATTGATTTCATTGACATGAACCACA